CGGGTGAACCAGCCCATCTCCTTGGCCCAGAGAAGCAAGCTAATAAAAGATTGATTGGGCGTCGAGCGCCAATCTGCCGCGCTCGGCACTTTCATGCCCAACTTCCCTCTCTTCCAGGGGGATGAAGGGAGCAGCGAGGGGGCCATTAGCCGACCCCCACTTGATTGGGCTGCTTTTATTTTCCCCTCTCCATTGCTTTATCTCCGTGATTTAACATCCTGTCTGCCAGCCGTTCCCGCTAGAGCCGAAGAGTGCTGGCCAGGCAGCTCTGCGAGCCGAGGTAGGCAGGCGAAAAAACTTCCTGCGCTCTCTTTAAAACTTTTCTTCCTTTTTGTTTTTTTAATGGAGTGCAGCTGGAATAAAGAGTGGGCCCAAGCAGATTCAGAAAGGCCAGCCCTGGCCTCTGCCCCTGAGCAAGCTCGTCCTGTTTGGTCCAGCTATAGACCCCTGCCGCTTCCGGTCCGACAGGCATCTGGCCGAGGAAATCTCTCTTTTTGGGACTCGGAAGAGGGCAGCCGTCCGTCTCTGTAGACCGAGGGTCAACAGAGGACCAAAGTTCCCATCAGCTTCAGCCGAGGGGTGGGGAAGGCCTAGATTTACAGCCCAGCAACATCTGGGTGGGGAAGCGAACTTTGCCCACTGCAGAAGCATTGGGGCTGAGCATCCGAGGAGTCCCATTGCCTCGGTTGAGTTCATGAAGTCATGTCTCCATTTGCAGCAGGGGCCAGACAGGCGCCTCCCGCAGTGGTTCCGGCACAACGTGCAGCCAGCATCTCATCTCTGTTGTTAGCGTGATGTTTGCCTCCACCCTCTGGAATTCAGGTAGATTGCCTCTGCCAGGGGAGGATCCCTTTTACCTGTCCTTAATCCCATGAGCCCCCATGTTTTGAAAACCTCTCCGTGCCTATGGTGCGCGAGTGTGTGTTCACGCCCGTGCATGCGCATGCCCACACACTGATCCAAGGTTCAAAAGTCCAGAACCTGCATCCTTTACCTGGATCCTCTTTCATTCTAGTCCAGCGAGAAATCTTATGGCGCATGTTAAACATTTGATGCGTTCTTCATCTGCGGATCTTCATAAAAGCAAATGGGCTTTGGTGCCGTCATGTCGGTGCCAAGACTTCACCCCATGGCCATTTTACCTGGCAGGGGGTTGTGGGGTTTCCTGCCTATTTCCCCTGACTCGAAACGTTCCTATGTTTCGAAGGAAAGAACATTGAAGGAGGACCCCGGCGGGAGGGGAAAGGACGATTCTAGAGGGTAGCTTATCCTTGCACACCCATCCCAACCACCTTCCTGCGAGCGAAGCTCGGCCTCCCTCTGCACTAAGTCCTCCATCTTGTGAGCTTCCCTGCGCCGTGTCCCGTCCCGTCCCCCCCCCGGTACACATCACAAGCGCCAAGAAGCACGGGAGAGTTGCACTCCTCTGCCTCTGATTCGATCCTCCTTGGCCAAAGGTGCCTTCTCTGAAAGGAAACAAATCGGAACATGCTCATTTCTGAGACTAGGAAACCGGAGAGCGTTCCTGGAGTTGGGGGAGGCTTCGGAAAACGAGAATTCCGGCAGCATAGAGCCACAAACCCCGAGTCAGACGCGGCTCGCTTAGAGCTCCTTCTGCAAAGGTTACGCCGCTGGGGTTTCTTCCAAGAAGGACCCTGAGAGATTAGGTTTCTCCAGGCTGCCTGGAGCATCGTCCAGGGGGCTGTGTCCCAGGCCTGGCAGTAAACACCAGTGGAGCTGCTATGTAATCAATGCAGCAGCCCCAAAAGCTGTGGCACGTAGCATGGCCCTCCTCCCAGGGCTCCACGAAGGAACCCTGGCTCTGTTGCGCAAGGTATGGTTCAAAGTTGAAGCCAGGTGACGGAACATGCCCAGGAGGGGGCTTGGTTGCCCCCAGCACCCCCATGGTTGAATCTGCCCGTTGGGAAGCGGAATGCTGTGGCTTCCTTGGGTGATGTTGGAAAAGGCGCTCTGTACATGATCAAAGGCAGCCTCGGTCACTCCTCTCGAGGTATAGCTGTGGCAACAGAGACTGGTTTAAACCCCAGGAGATTCTCTGGATTCCGCTTGCAAGAGCTGAATCTAGAGCCGCCGACATCACGACACAGGTCTTTGTAGAACAAGGAGGTTCTCGTGACCCAGAGCCAGGGGACATACGCAGAGTAAGTCGAGCGCGTGGTGGCCCAACATGCCCAAGCCCTGGCAGGGGCCTCTGTGGACTTTGGGGGGGGGGTGGAGGAGCGACAAGGAACGGCCACTTTAAATCTCCGACAGAGCCTGAAAGCGACACAGGACATCATGCCGAGGTGGCCTCCTCGGCTCGGGTGGCCGGCTTGTGTTTAGGCGCATTTCTTAAGAGCTGGGGGTGGCATTGCTGCCCATCCTGCCACAAAGCGAGGCTTCTCAGGGGTTCGAGATGACTGCCAGATCGCGCCATGGCCTACGTGTTTCGGTGCCTATGTGTGTGCTCTCACATGTGCATCATACTAAAAATTAAGCACATCTTTATGTTGCACTTGATGTGATATCACACACACGCACACAAAACAGCAGAGATTTTAAGCAGTTCACACATTTAGGACGAGTATCGGGAGGTGTTCAAAGAACTGAGAAGGGCTT